TTTTATATTAATAAAGAGCGCATCGATCCATTGAGTTGACTCCAGCAAAAGCGGTATTATTATTAAATTGGCTATCGAGCCTTAAGGGCCGTTAGCGGATTGATATGGAACGTCCTATATTTCAATTGTTTGTGCTTACTTGTTTTTGTATCATAATGTAATTAATATTTAGCATAAGGCTAAGTATGCAACAATATACTTATACCAAAACTTAGAAAGTAAAGTAAACAATTTTATACTTCGCGGTCCTAACATTTAGGGCTAGTTCTTTTTTTTTTAGTTGGCACGGTTAATGACATCTGGGCCAAATTTTATGTCAATGTCATCAATAACTTTTTGGATTTTTCGAGTGTGTTAGGGCGGGGTGGCTTGATCGCTGAAAATAGCTGAAGTCCCCAGAACAAATGGTAGGCAAAAAACACGGGGGTACTTTGGGGGTTTTACGCGACGTGCTTAGATGTTTATTGGTTCACTTGGAAATAAGAACTAGTTAAGCATAACTTAACTTAAGCGCTCCAGAGCGGTGCTGAGACTTAGGGGAGAGATGGAGAGGGAGAGCGGACAAAGTGCGAGAGAGAGCGACAAAGTCGTTCAAAAATCAATATCATATTGACAGTTTTTTTTAATTTTCGTAGTGTGGTGCACTTTGAATTCCTTACACCCAGCAAAACTGTTAATAAAGAATATTATTTGAGCGTTATGCGTCAAACTCAAAAGGTTGTAATGACACCATTCCTGGAATTTGTTTATATCTGACAGCAACCAAAACCAGAAACCGATAGAGGAAAGATCATTTATAAACAGAGTAAACAGAAAGGGGCCTAAATGACTACCCTGAGGCACTCCACATGTTACATAGATCATCTTGGAACAGCGTTTTTAAACATAACCCTCTAAGATCTCCTAATCAAATAACTTGAAAGCCAAGTAAACAGATTTATCTGAAGCCCGAACAGATCTAACTAGAATAAAAGAAGAAAGTCAAGTGCTTTGCTATAGTATGTATATATAACGTATGCAATTTTTGCTAAATCTATCTATTACAAAAGATGTCGGTTCGAGCAGGTTAGAGGCAGCGGATATTCGGTTAACAAAACCATGTTGACACGTTGATATCAGAGACAAGCACAAATGCTGCAAATAAGACGTAATAATGTGTTCAAATGTTTTAGGAATTGCGGACAATTTAGAAACATCTCCATAGTTCTGGACATCCCTTTAGGTGGAGTGAAATAATAAAATAATCTTTTTATATAGTAGGAAAATCAGATGATGATATAGATAAATAAAAAAGTTTAAGTATCGGTTTTCAAATGGTTCGGGCACAAATCTTAAGCACACACCCAGGGAGTCCATCTGGCCCAGGAGAATAGGTAGGCGTTGTAGTTTCTAAATCACCTAAGACAGAACTTACGGTAATTTCAGGAGGAAAAGTACAGTTTCACTTAAGTGATTATGGTAGTTAGAATTAGACTCAGAAGCCTAACTATTACTAGTTTTGAAGAACTCCACAAATAAGTCCGCAATTTTGTAGTCCGTAGATATCTCAATTGAGTTGAAACGTGCAGATATAGGCAATGCCGAAGACTTTCGCTTAGCATTAACAAAGTAAAAAGACTGCCTCGGAAAATTCAAATTTACATCGGTTAAAATAATTGGAATAGCAAGGACTGTTGAGAAAATAAAACTGGTACGAGCTTAAAGTTTTCTAAGTCTTTGCAGCGCATTGGTAAACCAATGATGCCTGTTTAGCCTTTCGAGAAAGACCATCAGGAACGCATTCATTAAAAAAAGAGTTTAGGACACTATAAAATAGTTCAGTAGCTCTTTCAATATCCATGCAATTATATTAATTTAACCAATTATATTGGAAAATATTATACGCTTGGCCCTCGCTTTACACGGGGTTACGATCCTAGAAATCCTTGTGGTAAGCGAAATCTTGTTAAGCGAAACATGGATTCAGTACAAAACAAGGTGTTACGTTCCCAAAATTCAGAAATGGCAGCAAAAAAAATTATGTATTGTTCAAACTTGGTCTCTTTTTATTAAAATTTCATACATTTGTTCAAAATTAACCAAAAGTTATTATGTATACATTCATATTTTAAAATTTAAAGTTGGTATTAAATTAAAAGTTAATTAACAAGTTAAACTTGATAGAAATTTAAAAATGTTAAAAAGTAAGGAGGTCATATGTTTCTGTTCTTATCAAATTTGAAATGCATTTGGTGGCATTGATAGTTTAAGCCAGTTTGTTTCAACATGTTTTCTTTTTTGGTGGCTCCTTATCAAAAAAGTCAGACATTTTCGATTGTTTGGTGGCTTTTAAAGCTTCTTTATAGCACTCCTTATAAGGCAATAGTATTTTTTACAACACTCTCTTAAACTTAAGTCGTCGTTCGATGACCGATGACAAAAAGCACGATTCCAAGCTGCTAGCATATTCGAATACTTCTATAGCTTTTCTATCTTTAAACTAATCGGATCGGTTTCTTCGTCATCTGATTTCAAGCAAGGATTCGTCATTAATTTCTTCATCTTCACACAACTCTTGCAAATCACAAATTGCCATGTCGTCGAAACCTTCACCTTCAATCAAGTGAGCAAGGTCCAACAAATCCTGGAATCCACGTTTTGACACTTCCATTTCACAGCTTTTAACAACCTCTGGCCATAATTCCTCCAGCATCTATTTAATGTTGACACCTTTATCTCTTTTCAAGATAAGTTTACCAACTCAAGGCTATCTTTGTTCAGGCCCACTGTCCGGCGAACCTGGAGCGGCCCCGCTATCTAACTGCACCGCTCTCTCGCTCTCTCGCGCTCCCGCTCTCCCGCTCTGTTCCCAGCTCCCCTCCGTGAAGTCTCCGCTGCGCTTTGGAGCGCGGAACAGAGCTTAGACTTAGGCAGTTAAATTTTGGCATTCATATTAAATAAACTGCGGTCGCCCCGCCTAATTAGTACAGTGAACCTTTTGCGTAATTACTTCGGTAATTCGGTCAAGGGGGAATTCGCGTTTCGAGTGGTTTACTCCCCTACAGCTTAGACGCTTTCCGCCGCACCAGCAGCAAACCGCCGAGGCCCAGCGCATCAGCCCGCCGACGCCGCCAGTTCCCGGCGTCGCCTCCCACGCCATTCTGCCAGCGCCACCGGTACCCCGCTACCCCCCGGCGTACATTTTGGTCCTTCGAGCCGGATAAGATAAGTAAAGCTTTTTCGCCTTATTAATTTCCGGTCTGTACGTTTGACTTTCTGTACGATTTGTCCAAAATCCAAGTCCGATTAAATCCGACCATGGCAATTAATAAATTTCTTCGCCATTTTTTTAATTGCATTTGGCCGCTCATCCATACATACATACACATATATAATATCGGGAAAAAAAATCCAAGCTTAGAAAATTTTTTTTGCAAATATAAGCCAAGCGTACAATGAGAATTATTTAATTTCCTGTGTTCTGCCAATTCAGGCCCCCAAAACTTTCCAAGATTTTCTCACAGTATATCCGCAGCCGCTAAAATACTTGCACATATTTTTTCGTTTTTCCAAATGCAGTCCACATACAAATAATTCGAAAACGTCTACCACAACACATACCCCGCCGGCAATAATTATTTAATAAATTTAAAACCTGCGAACATTACATACATACAAATCCACATCTACATACATACAAATATCTACCCTTCAGTTCCAAAAAAAAAGTTTCACTTGTGAATCACCTTGTGAATCCCGTGGGACATGTCATCTTGCACAAGTGAAGAACAAGTGACGCTCCATATAGAAAATTGTATGGGATGTCCGCATTTTCACAAGTGAAAATTCAAATGAAAATTTTTCAAAGTCCCACGGGATTTCACTTGTTCCTTATACTCATTTTTCGTATGGCCTGATCACGTCCCAAGTGAAATCACTTGTGAAAATCAATTTTTTTCCATGAGTTTTCACTTATGAAATAACTGCAAGTGATTGGTCCCAAGTGAAATCACTTGTGATAATCAACATTTTTCCATCAGTTTTCACTTATGAATTCACTTGCAAGTGACAATTCCCAAGTAAAATCACTTGTGAAAGTCAAAACTTTTCCATGAGTTTTCACTTATGAATTCACTTGAAAGTGACACTTCCCAAGTGAAATCACTTGTGAAAATCAGAATTTTTCCAATGAGTTCAATTATGAAAATATAGAATTTAAAATGCATACATATTTAATTTCATTTCAGTTCATTTTAATTACACGGTATTATTTAAATTTTCACAAATTTGATTGTTATTTTTTTTGTTTTTTTGTTTGTTGAGTTTATTTTTTACATTCGTCATAGCTTTCCGCAAACATTTGTCCGGGTCCTCGGAGTCCTTGGCCAACGCTCCTGAAAAAATGTAATGGCATATGTTTAGAAATGCGTTTTACTTGTTTATTTGTATATTTACCTTTAAGAACTCCGTAAAACCCTATACGGGATCGGAGGGACTTCTTCCCGTTGGACCCGTCCAAATTTTTATTTATTTATTTATTTATATCCTAGCGCTACGAGTGCACACTTATAATTATCGCGCTAGTCACATTGAGTTGATATTTTAATTAATATTAATGACTAACATCAAATTTTCGTAGTTTCTTAGTTACAATTATTATTGTTTTTAAAATATATATATATTTTTTTTTTTATTTTTATTTTTTTATTTTATTTTATTTAATTTTTATACTTATGTGTACTGGTATTTCAAAAGATCTTTAACTTTATTGTAAAATTGAGTTGCGCTCCTAATTGTTTTGTATTGGTGCGGTAGATTGTTCCATAGCCGGATACCATTTATGAAAAATTGCCTTCTCGAACACATTGTTTGTATTCGAGGGCATATGTAATTTTTGGTTCTTACAGATGTGGCTGGGGTAAGTTTATTGAAAAGATATTTTGGTTCTCCACTCGTCACTATTTTGTGAAAGAAGATTAAAATTCTGAGATCGATCCAGGAGGTCAAGTTAAGGTCAAGTATTTTATATGTCAGTTCTGATACATGGTCAAAACGTCTTAAGTTAAACACATAAGGGACAACTGAATTAAAGGCTACAGTTAATGTACGCGAATCCCGCGCATCACAACTTCCAAAAATTTCTATGCCGTAAAAGAGAGTGGGCAGGAGGATAACTTTGGCGATTAATAGTCTAACTTCCTCAGTTAGGAACGATTTGGAGAATGAAAATTTTCTCAGCAGAGCATTGTACGCCCTGTCGCTTTGACTATATGGTTGCTCCATGATAAAGTATTGTTAAATGTTATCCCTAGATTAACTGCATTCACTTCATAGCTTATCGGCGTATGGTTTATATATAATTTTTGGAGTGAAAGTCTTTAAAGTAGCTTTTTACCAATTACCAAGCACTTCGATTTTTTAGGATTTATACCCAATCCATTTTCCTTTGCCCATTTTTCAATTAGCCACAACATTTTATTACTTATACGGACACAGTCATGTATTTCAGTTACGGGTCTACTAAATTGTAAATTTAATCATTGACCATCTATGACCATCTTGAACCTCTTTGACAGCGGTTCGCTACCAATTATTTTGGATATTTTCTTTGTCTGCAAATAGAAATAAAAAAGAAACATAGAAATGCAAAAACAAGTCGGCCTTGCTCGATACTTACGTAAAAACCGATGAGCTCCGGGGCAAGGAATTTTCAAACTCATCTAGTTCCTCTTCCGTTTTCAACGGAAACGGTACCGCGCCCGTAATCTCCTTGTCTGGAGCGAATGATGCCTTCCAAATCGCGTTGACTTCCGCCACTTTGTCCGGCAAAATGTCGAGCTTCTGCGACATAACAGAGATCTCCCTGCGGGTTTGGCGAAACTCTTCTGAAATTTTAATTTGTATATATTACAAAAAATAAATAAAACATCAAAATAGACTAAAAATAAAAATTTGTGGTCAATGGCGACTTATTTTAAAAATTTAGAGTATGATATATTTTCAAGCAAAACGGCCGAATACTATTTTTAGTGTAAGTAACAGTGTTAATATTAAATAATATTCGTATTTATCGTACTTTAAATTTATAAAATAAATCGCCATTGACGACAAATTTCTAAAAATCAGGGCGATTACTATTTTCAGTGTAGGGTTATAAAACATACCTTTCAACTCTGCCATTTGCCGTTCAGTTGAATCTTTAAAAAAAATAAGAAAAATTAGAAAATTACACAGTAACACAAATTTATTAACTCACTAGAGACCGATGGGGTTTCTGTAAAAAAATAATATTGTATTAATGCAATCACTAAGGATATTGAAACAAGAAAATCAATTTCTTGTGTTTACACTTACCTTCCAAATCAAACTGGACTCGACGCACTTTCGATTCTGGCTGAGACATACAAATTTAAAAATGATTAATATGAACAAAAAAATAATTAAATCAAATATAAGTAAAAAATTAAAAATTAATCAAATTATAAAAAATAAACAAACATAAATGAAAACAAGGAAGAACGCTATAGTCGAGTACCTCGACTATCAGATACCCGTTACTCAAAGGGAAAAGGAGATATGCAAGCAGCAAAGCGAAAATAAAAAGCGGTAGACAGATTTAAGCGTTATGGGCGTTAGAGTGGGCGTGGCAAATTTATTTTTGGATCAATCGATAGGTATTGACGACACCAATACATTTCAGTTCAAATTTTTCATCTAGCATCCAAATTGTGGGCGTCACAGGTTTTCGCGGTTTGTGGGCGTTTAAGTGGGCGTGGCAAACTTTAGGTCAATCGATAGGTATTGATGAGAACAATACATTTCAGTTAAAATTTTCTACCTAGCATCAAAACTGTAGGAGTTTCAGTTTTGGGCGGTTTGTGGGCGTTAGAGTGGGCGTGGCAGTCTACTGAAACAAACTTGCGCTGCGTAAGAAGCTCAGGAATCTGTACGCCAAATCTCAATAGCCTAACTCTCATAGTTTCCGAGATCTCAGCGTTCATCCGGACAGACAGACGGACAGACGGACAGACGGACAGACGGTCAGACGGACAGACGGACAGACGGACAGACGGACAGACGGACAGACGGACATGGCTAGATCGACTCGGCTAGTGATCCTGATCAAGAATATATATACTTTATGGGGTCGGAAACGCTTCCTTCTGCCTGTTACATACTTTCCGACGAATCTAGTATACCCTTTTACTCTACGAGTAACGGGTATAATAATAATAAACAGAAAATAAACAACAATTGTTAATAACGAAAATATTAGTAAATAGTTAGAAATAAATTAAATTACAAAAAATAAACAAAAATAAGGGAAAATAATAAGAAAAAAGTTAAATGAACAATAATTGTAAGTAAAGAAAATTAAAAGAATAACAAAAAATAAAATAATACAAGTGCCGTTTTTTTTTTGGTACTCGAACCAAGGTAGGTGAATCTTCGAAAGATATTTAAAGCGCCGTCGCAATAAATATGCCCGATTCATAATAAAATTACGCCTACGGACTAAACACCTCCTTTACAAAAAAAAAAACTAAAAATCCAATTTAAAAAAAAATGCAAACATGGAACTACTACTATTTTTTCTAAATAAGGAATGGCTACCGCTTTTCTCCTAAATTCCATTATTGAAAATCTTTTTATACTAGAAGGCACTTCTAAATTAACTAAATATATACCTAGGCCAGAAGAATTCATTGGCTCAATAAAAAAACTGTCCCTATCTTGCAATTCCCTTCCATTAATAAAAATTTCCCCATCTACCTCTTCAAAAGATTCTATTTGAATTGGAACCTCATCTCCTACAAAACAAAAATTGTCTGGTTGCCTATCACTAAGTGTGCAGTCGTTCATTTTAAGATTTCTGCCTACTAATTTTATTTGTTCTTCTGCTGGGGCTACGTATTTTTCCTCGACTATCTTTTAAATATTTGTTCTAAGATATACGATTTTTTTCTAACACATTTTTTAAGGAGCTGCAAGTCATTCTCAAAGGAGTAAGAAGATCCTGAAACCGGATTTCCGACTTGATAGAATAGTTTCTCTTACATGAAGTAAGCCGTGGACAATGTAAGTCACACTGTTTGCTCCAAATACAATGGGGAAATTTTCAACATATAGATTTAATATTTGTTGAGCATTTTCAATATTATTTCCCCGTTGCTTTCGCGAACAGAGCAGTCTATATGCGCAGTGCAGTAATAAAAATAAATAATACTGGTCATCAAATATTTCAATCTTTAAGAGCTACAATACCAGTGTATAATAAGAACTGCCTAAACTCAGTGCTTTTCCAGTTAGGAAGCTCTAACAATGTCCTCGGCTTTTTTGCAAATTCCCTAGGTATAAAAGTTCGCATTGACATTAATTTAGCGGAAATACTGTTTTGGTTTTGTTTTGAAACTTTATTTATGACTTTGTTATAATAAATTCGTTCAAAAATTTGCGCATTACCCCCAACTCAATAAGATGCATACAATCTAAAGGAACTTGGGTTATCATACGAACACCAAGCGTTTCAAAAGCGGACGGACTATTCAAATAATCTTTGCTGTGGTGGTTTGGATAAATTCTATTCGCAAAGTCTTCATCAGTAATTAACTGACTAGCAACAGTACTGTATGTTAATGTACCATCTACTTTGCGACCAACATGAAGACATTTGGTACTGCCGTGACTGGATGTATGTCCAGGGGTTCCTGTAACAAATGCCCTTGCAGGTGCATCACAAACCACCGCCCTAAGTTCTATATTTACTTTTTTGTGTAAAATTGTAAGTCCGTTTATAAAAAGATCGGAAAATTCACTAGTAAATTTTGACATGTATTGAACACAATTAGATGGCTTATTTTTAGATGAAAAAACTCCAACTGGAAAAACGGGGCACTTATTAATATTATTAACTCGAACTAAAATAGGCCACAATTGTGCACGAGAGCTCTTAGTTAAGGGAAGACCGTCAATATTAACGTCAATGCTTAAAACTTCTGGTAATTCTGCTACCACAGATAATTTTACTAATTGCTTCGACAAGCCAATATGCAAATAGGAACCCCAATCTATTTCCGTAATATCTGGTGTATTCCTGCATTTAAATTTATAAGAAGGCCTTACATTTAAATTTCCTTCATTTAAAATTTTGATTAGATCTATAGCGCAACTACGAGTTGGCTTGTGCTTTATATACCACTGCTTCAACTTAAAATTTAAGTCTCCCTGATCGGACTCAATGTTTTCTATGTCTTCCTGATTAACTTCTACATTATCTTGACCGCCTAATAAATTTTCCTGATCTACATCTAAATTTTCATGAACTTCTAAATTTTCCTTTCTAAGTTTTCCTGATCAGCTTCAATTTCCTCGTGATCCCTAATTTTGTCAATATGTTCGTTCGAATTCTCTTCAACTAACCTTAATCTTTCACGCAACTGATCCCTTTCTCTTGGTAATTTTCAGTTTTAATATTATTATATAATTTAAAAGATTTAATTATATTGTTGTTAAAAATATGTAAATAAAAATGAAAAAAATGAGACATTTACAACAATTATTTAAAATGAAATAATTATTTATTTATTAGTTATAAATAATTATATATTTATTATTTATAAATAAAATATTTATTTATCAATTTATTTATTATAATAAATTGATAAATAAGTAATTATTTATTTTTTTATTAATTTATTAAAATTGTATAAACAATATTTAAATAATTATTCATTTATCAATTTATTTAAATTGAATAAATAATTATTATAGATAAAAACATTTCATTTTAAATAATTGTTGTAAATGTCTCATTTGTTCATTTTTATTTACATATTTTTAACAACAATATGATTAAATCCTTTAAATTATATAATAATATTAAAACTGAAAATTACCAATTAATTTTTGAGATAAACGCAACCAAACATTTTTATTTTATAATCTTTATTTTTTATTAATTATGATATATTCATCTGTGTCCAAAATGAAAGTGATTTTGCTATTCAAAAGAATTATTTAGATTATTGTTAAATAAATTAATTTTAATGTCTGTTTATATAAACAAAATAGATAAAATATTTTAACGATTGCTTTACATTTTTTTTAAAAATGCGCATCGCAAAATCACTATGGTTTTGGGCGTAGCTGTATATTTCACAATTAAAAATTTTGTCTTGCCCGGAAAATGAGAGTTGATTAGCGAAGTTTAATACTAAAATCGTGCACAAATGATTTTTTCTTGTTATGTAATTAGGTCCGTTATGTAATTTCTTTTATCAATCCACTTTCGGCCAATGGAATTCGATTTTTTGGGGTATTTTGTCAAACGCATAAAATAGTTTTTAAAGTAACGTACCTTTAAAGTTAGTTTAATGCACAACGTATGAGACTTAACGTAACACTTACCTGGGTTTATAATTTTAACTTTAAAACACGTTTTAGGTAAGCTGATGCGCACAATTGAAATCGATCCTTCTTTTGCAATCACTCAAACAGAATGCAGATGCACCAAGGCTTCCTCTCACCCCTTTACTTCATTTCTTTTTTTTTCTCTTCGCTGTTGGCGCGTGCCACTGCACTTATACCCTTTCTAGGTGAAATATATCCGACAATGTCATTTTTACTTCTTAAGTAAAAATTCATATTGTATAATACTTTTAAATATTGAAATCAATTTTAACGGGCTAAATTTCTATAACTAAACTAAAAAATTATATTGTAATAAAAATTTATAATAAGTAAACATAACATTATAAGTAAATTCAATTTACTATAATCAAATAATTAACTTTTATAAAACAATATTAGTTGTTTTTTTCGATATACAATAATGCTCCTAAAATATTAGAGCATTCACATGTCGCTGCTCCACGAAAATTTTTCCGCCGAAATCTTAGTCGCTAGCCGAACATAACGGAGAGATGCAAAAAAAATAACGGGCCGGCCGAAATTTGTCTCTGTGAGCGCGGAGTGCAGGCAGATTATAAGGCAAAAGAGAGAGGGAAGCTCCCAATATCTGTCGATCTTTAATGTACGACCGTTTTCGTAGGCAGTCTTTTACGCTGCGCCGACTGCTCTGCTGACGTCAACAGCGGCACAGCGGTTTAGGCACAAAAAAAAAACAAAAAGCTTTTTGCCTTGAGCCATGTCACCGCGTCCCTACTGCAGAACTGAAGGGTACTTACATGTCAATATCTACATACATTTCCATATATACATACATACAAATATCTAAATACATACAAATCTACATGCATTAACATATAATTTTAACTCCACCATCCCTATCCGACTAAATAAAGTTTTCCGTCGGCCATCCGGTTAAAAATAATAAAATAAAAATTACACCAACCGACATTAAAATTTTTTTGGTCATTGTGTTTTATTTACACC